ACATCACAATGTTAGTTTAAACATTTAACCTATATAAATGTGCACTATTAGGCGCATATCCAATCGTTTGTGCGGAGAGTGGAAGCTTAAGCACGCTTCAGGACATCAGTTGAAACAAATTAAATAAGGCATAATTTTTGCTCATAAAGGTAAGAATACTCTTATTATTATGTAATCCGTAAAGATGCATTTCTTTCTAAAGGCGCAACCAATGATGAGATGGCGAGTCAGGATCATCAACTTCATAGCACACTGACTCATAAAACACTAGTTTATTAATAAATAATTAAAATATCTCCTTACTATTTTCCCCCAACATAGTCATGATAATTTTTGCGGCAAGCTTAGCCTATTTAGCGCAGTCACGTTGCTGTGCGCCATGGTCACGAAAACTCATCATTTGCATTTGTTTTTAAGCATTGTGGTTTAAAAACAAGTTATTTAAGCCATTGAAACGTAAATAACAGCACTATATGCGTGAGCTGTCTGTTTCTGAGCGTGACTTCTGCAATTGGGTCGGATCGAGGTCGGGTCATATTCACACCTTAAGTGAACCATACCAGAGTTCGTTTGGAAGCGGGCCGAGACCTGTGTCAGCAGGCTTTCACCCAGGTAAAGGCTGCTCTGTGTGGGGGGCCGCTCTTACACTCTCCTGACTTTTCTCTCCCTTTCTTGTTGCAGACGGACGCATCGGACAGGGGGCTGGGGGCCGTCCTGGCCCAGGAGATAGGGGGTGAGGAACGGCCGGTGCTGTACATTAGTCGAATCTAAGAGAGAGACGATGTACAGCACCATTGAGAAGGAATGCTTGGCCATCCGATGGGCTGTCCTCACCCTCCGCTATTATCTCCTGGGTCGGGAGTTCACCCTCTGTTCGGACCACGCGCCCCTGCAGTGGCTCGAAATAAAAGAGCCACGAGTCTCCAAACCGCCTACCTGAGTCACTTCCTTCTTCCCCTTACGAACTTTGTTACACAGACAAATAATCATATTTTATAATAAGTTTAGGGGGGGCTAGGACAGACAACAACACAACCCTTATGAAAATGAATGATGATTTTACGGGGTGTGTTAGAACGAGCCGTTTTAGGTAGGCGTGGTTGACTCTTAACTTTTATAAAGAATATCTCTTTGGATTTGAGACTTTAGTCTTTGCAACTTTACAGATCTTCTTTATGCACCAAGAGCTTGTAACACTCCAAAGAGAAAGGAAAAATTGAAATCGCATCATATGACCTCTTTAACCAAATTCTGGCTAAATATTTTCAAACAGTAGGTTATATAATATAAATATATATGTTTGAAATTTCAAATAAAGGACATTTTTTAATCAAAATTTATATTTTCATGTTTAGAAACTGGAATATTGGCTTAATGTTCTTATTGCAATCTGGTTGTGTTTACACAAATCTGACATAAGAATATTCTTGTGCTTGTAAACAGTCAATGTGACAGTCAACATCAAATCAAAATGGACTGTTTACTTACCTATTTATTTCCTAATGCACTTTCTTCGTCTTATTGTGGATGATCCATCGATTGCATGATATTGCAAAGAAAATAAAATGTTTGTCTTCATAAACTGATCAAAATACAATACACTTCTACTGAAATAGCATTCCCTTTCCACCTGTGTCAGGTAGGCCACACATGCTATTGGATAATGTTAACCAATAGCGAAATAGCTACTCAGCCATTGGTTGATTTTGGAATACCATACTAGCATACTAACATATGGCAGAAATAATATGAGTAAATATGCAGATCAGCCATTGTTTTACCAAAATTGGGTCCTGGTAACACACTTTTCACCACTCAATCAATTCCCTTCATGCATTTTTCCCCCGTTTCAATCTGGAATACATAAAATTATGGAAGTAAAATGGGTTGAAAATGCTGACTTAATTCTTTTGATCTCGACTAGTTGGTTGGTTAGATCATTCCATACTATACAAGTTTTAAATGTATTTTTTTCATTTATAAAATCATATAAAAGTATAACACATATTTTTCAGATAACAAAAATTCAGTAAAATATTGTAAAT